CAGTGACTCACAACCAGGGGAAAGAGACTCTAGCTGCCAGCTCTTTTTAACCTTGACATCTTGGTCACAGAGCTGAGCTGTCTGCTACCACATAATAACCTTCTTGTGACGGCATTCCAGTTCCTCCTGGTGTTAAAGGTGCACCCACAGTATTTGAATCAAGGCCATGGATTGTCTCTGCATCATCAGACAGGGAAAATGACCTCTACTGTCATGTCTGGCTGTGCCTTGTAAATATTCCTCAGGAATGAAGAGCACAGGAAACACTGGCACCTGGTGGTGGAAGGGTTTTGTTTCAAGTGGGTTGAAAACTGCAGCCTCATGACTTCCACACAAGTTTGAAGCCACAGGATACTAATGTGTGCTGTGTGTGGTCTGTGCTTGTGAGGACAGAGGACTGATAAAGTTAGACATTATAATGCAGGAAGATTGTTTTTGGCTATGTTGTGCTTTTATTTTGTAAACCACTCATTTTGTTGTTTACTACCTGGGGGTGTGTTTTTGTGGTATGCACAGGTGAGGATGCAGCCACAGGACTCCAGCTGCTGGTAGTTACCTTGTTGGACTGTACCAGTCATGAGAGAGAGGGAGTAGGTAGAGGGGGTTAGTTAAGCTTGGCCTCAGCTCTGCTGCTAACATCTGTTAAACCTGCCAGACTGGACTTCTGGTTTTCTCCACCTGTTCCATCTGTGTAAGTACCTTGAAACTAGAACATAGTCAACAATGCCCATGTGAATGAATACATGAAAAAACATTTCCATTCACCCAGACTTGAAACAAATGTCTTGCTTTGCAGGGAAAGAAAAGAGAAAAAGGTGTCTGGCAAAGGCACAGCTGGCCTCAGTGGGCAGCAGCCACTGTGTTTCCTGAAGTGCCCCTGAGCAAGACAATGAGTCTGTCCTTGCACCGGTGGTTCTCTTAACTGCTGCCACAATACTGTGAACCCTCTGATGAATCACATCAGAGGGATGTTACTAAACAAGCAAGTAGACAAAAAAATAGAGGCAGGGTTCAATGATTTTACAGTTAATCTCACAGTTAACAATGGTCCTGTTGTTGAATCAAAGGTCATGCAACATCTCTACATCTTCCCATTTATGACAGAGAGGGACAAAATGAATGAAGCTTCAGAAAAAGATCTCAGCTAACTTCCTGGAAGAGAGTGCAGCTGTGGCTGTGCAACCAGGCTGTGTAGACCAGGACGAGCAATCACACATGCTTCTATAATGAACAAGCATGGAAGCCTGTATTCCATATTACCCTAGCTGTGTGTCTTAACTGTTCCTCTGAGCACATCTTGGTGTTGGATGAGCCTTGTGGGTGGTCCATGCCTTCTGAGTATAACCCAAGAAAACTTCTGACTGAATCAGGTGTCCTCTATCTCAGAGAGGCAGGGAAGTGAATGTACTGTAGAGAGAGAACTAAATATGAGTCAAACAGCACATGTGCCATGGTGGGGAGTGTCCTGCCAGGCCTAATGTGACCATGAACCATAAGGCTGCCAAAGAAAAGCCTGAGACCATTAATCGCAATGTAGGTACTGTACTGGAATTGTGGATGGAGGGATGCACAAGAAAGAGAGAATAAGTAGGACAGAAATAAGACAAATTAAAGGCAAATGAGAAGGAAAAGAATTAGAGATGTGGATATGAAGTGCAGGCAGGTGGGTAGGGACAAAAAAAGGATAAGAGAAGGAAGTGGAGCAATACAAGGGAATGGAGGCTGGATGAGGAGGATGCAGAGGATAGAAGAGGCATATGAGGGGTGAGAAGAAATGCAGAATCCATTTGAGGGAGCAGAAAAAAGAGCATAAAGAGAAACAGCTGAAGGACAAACAGGAGCAAGGCAGGAGGGAGGATGATATGAGGTGTCAGAAGGAATAATGAGCAGCAGGGAAGAAAGAAATGAATCACTACAGATGACTCGTCATATTTCTACTCTGCTGGTAGATGCTGGTCTAAACAACATAATGAGATATTCTGATTAAAGCTTGTGTCTGTGGCTGTGATCAGATCTGTGACAGCTGCTGGAATGGCTGATCCAGTTACAGGTAGAGCAGGGGGAAAAGGTTTTTTTGTGCTTTATAGCCAGGATACAAAGGCTAGTCAAAATAAGGAGGAGTATGTGTTCTTAATATTAAATATTAAACCCTGTTTGTGTCATTTAATTCATTTCATTTAAACGTCTGATTACATGGAAACGTTTTCAACTGTAGTTACGGTGTAGTGTACCTCAAGGCTGGAAAACATAATGAGCTGTTAGATGAAAACATTTGCATTTGGTTGGAGGACTGGGTAACTGTAACCTTGTACTGGAAATTGTTGCGGATGTCATTTTTGCATTTGCCTTGGTCAGGTTAGCCTTCACTGTAACTGGTAACACTGGACTTAATTAAACATAATTAGTGGCCCTAACTCAGTTTTTAAGCTTGCAATCAACACTCATTTTAAATAAATTACTTGTAATATGGGGCCAGAAAAGCTGACTCACTTAATGCATTGGAGTTTGAGTAACTGTATATTATAGTATATTATCAACTTAAGCAGAGGAAATGGTGAATTTGTTAGGGGTGGCAGACTTCCCAGCATGCATTGTTTGAGTGTTGAGACTATTTTTGTATTTTGAAGACTCCATTCCATGGTGGAAACTTTCTGTGTCCGTAACATATAGTAAGTTGTGGTTGTTTCTTTTCCGAAGTCTAGAAGCACTGCAAACCATTAGTCTTGAATTCAGTCCCTGGCCTAGAGCTGAACAAAGCCACTGGGGGGGGCAGCCTTGCATGCTGCTTGTAGTGTCTTTGATACAAAGTCCCTCCAACAGCTGCAGCTGTGAGTTTGTCATGTCACACTCTTTGAACTGAGACATGTAAAAGGAAAGTAAAACTTTTTATAGTGACTGTCCACATGACTCAGGAGTTCAGTCAACTTCATATTTTTATGTTTTTAACTTGTGTCTAAGTTCAGTTATTAGTTATGTATTAGTAATTGCTCAGCTATTGTATAGCCTTACCTCTTCTTGACTTTGGCCCCCACCACAGGCAGTGGCGTGTGGCCAGACTTTTTCCTCAGCTGGCAGAGAAAGCCACTGTCTGCAAAGAAATACATGGAGATTGGCCAAGTGGCGCCATGACCAAATGACCCCTGCAAGGGTTGAGAGGACTGTCATAATGCAGGAAACCAATGCCATTCAAAAGTGCCCTCAGAACATTTTTAATCTGAACACTGGTGACTCTAAATTGCCCATAGGAGTGAGTGAGTGTGTGTGTAGGTGTGTGTGTGTGTGTGTGGTTGTTTATCATCCCCAGCCAATGGGAGTCACAGGCTTTACCAGAGGTTGTCTGTGTGTATTTACCTCCAGGTCTGACAGAAGGAAGGTTTGAGAGGAAGCAGAATATTGTGTGGCCAGACTTTTTCCTCAGCTGGCAGAAAAAGCCACTGTCTACAAAGAAATACATGGAGATTGGCCAAGTGGTGCCATGGCCAAATGACCCCTGCAAGGGTTGAGAGGACTGTCATAATGCAGGAAACCAATGCCATTCAAAAGTGCCCTCAGAACATTTTTAATCTGAATAGACAACTAATGTCTGACTGACAGATTCCAGTGACCTGAGGCTGCCAGGGACTGTTTTATTTACTCTGCAGTGCAGTGTAGCACGAAGGCAGCCAGGTTGCATCTCATTATATTTAGTTTCAATGGAAAATTGTCATATAATTGTGTAAGTCACAATCTTCCAGTGTTCTTTCTCTACCCACACATTATATTTTCCTTCAATTTGTAAAATGATATTTCCATGTTGCAAGGATGTTGATTAATGTGCTGCATGCTTGAATTTGTTGGGAGTAATTTTTAAGAATTTAGTTCTCTTCCACTCTGTACTCAGTGCAAGTTAAATCCAATAGGCCTATTTTATATCAAAATGTGTGTCTGCACTGATATTTTCTGACCATTTCTAATCTACACCATCCATAATTAGTCACATCTTTAACAGACTACGTTTCCCAGAATGCAGTGCAGAAGCTATAGATCAGGTTACCTCATGTCCAGTAGTCAGACTGGTGTGTCTAGTGTACACTTTAATACAGAGTTCAAATAACCTATTAGAAATTAGTTTTTACCTAAACATAACATAAACCATTAAGACTGAGACCTAACTTTGAACTGTCTGCATATGCCTGTATATATAAAATGTATTATTTAGTTATATGTATATTAATATTTGATTTGATTTATTCTAATATTGATTTTATTTATTCTAATATATCTTAGTAGGGCCTATATCTCCCTTAATATACCTATTTCTATCACATTCCTCTCTTTGGCGTTATTGTTATTTCTGCTGTCACGTTATAAAAAAACAAACTTTTAACTGATTGTGGTCCCACCTAGTCACGTTTGTTCTGGTTCTGTCTGCTGATTGGCTGATAGCAAACACAAGAAAGTCCACACCTGTGATGGTGTGGTCAACACATGTCGACACAATAGTTTAGATAGCCTACTATGCAGCATGAATGCAGCAGTGTGTGGATGAATTTTCGATTCATACAGGTCTCTAGTTTTAAGTACTCTATTTTTATTCCTATTTTTCTCATTTCAATGAGCATTTCTTTGTCTGTCTGCATTGTTTGTTGCTTGTTAATACTGCTTATTTTGTTATTCTACACAGCCTTATGCTGGTTTACTGTTTACTTGCCCCTTGCATGGGGATATGTACATACACATTGAGAGCCGATGTACCAGAGTCAAATTCCTCGTAGCGGTTTCCGATTCTGAAACAAAATGGTGGTTCATTCCGTGGTCTACAGGGACATCTTGAGGACAAGAGTCGGCGTTACTACAGTTTTAGGCAATTTATGGCTAGTATCAAAACCCCGAAGAGCTTCCAGGTAGTACTCACATTTGACTAAAAGTCTTGATGTGAGTATTATAGTCAATGGAGCACATTTTATTTAAAGGTGGGAGACTCTTTTCACCTACCAAGCTACAGTTAAAATTAGGACAAACCTTAAAAAAACAACACAATGTAATATTTTTTTATATTCCCTTGTGGACACAGCTGAACATAACAACGTGTACAGTAGAGATGGACTATAATGGCACACTTGGTTGGGAAATAATATTCACAATGACAATACAGAGACAACATCCATCATTTTGCAAGTTGAAATTAGTAAAACACACACACACACACACATATCAATACAAGGCAATGGAAAAGGCCCACGATGATCAAGATTCATGTTCTCCATTCCAGTAAAATGTAATTGTTCCAGGCATATTTTCTGTCATGTTACTTGAATTGGCCAGGACACACAACTGTTGGATGCATAACACTACTGGACAAAACGAGACAAAGACAACACAACCCATATACACTAGATATTACACTCCCACTGCAGATAAAAGAAGCCTCAAGAGTGTGCTCATAACCCAATGAAACATTTAGAGCTGCAGGTGTAAATAAATGTGATCAATTAACTAGTTAAAGACTTTCTGGGGGGGTTTTCCTTTATCTGATTCCAGGGTCTAAGGGCAGAGGGTCTTGCCTGCTGCAGATAATGTCAAGCCCCTTCAGGCAAATATGTGATTTGTGATGTTATATACAATGAATAAAAATTCACCTGACTTGACTACTTTTATTTCCAGTGATAATGTGCAGTATTTGATCTACATTTTAAACCACCTGTATTTTTGCCTGTTGACTGTTCACACCTTCCATGTCCTCACTGCCTTGGGCTTTTACTACATGGTGTAGCTGTTTGTGCGCCACATTTGGGGAATCCAAATGTACACCAGGCATTTTAGGGTTACACACTAAAAGATGTAAAGGATGAACATGATATCATTGAGCACCAGAAGATTAAACACAGGTGACGTGCCTGAGTTCAAACTGTTGAATTACTGTATTGCATACTGATTATCTCCGATCTGTACATGTACCAGTATCATATACTGTACACCGCTTCTCTCTTAATTCGTTGTCTTAAGTTGATAAGAGGAAAGTTAAGAGTAACCACACATGTTGAGGTAAACAGGTAGTAATGAAATGATCCTTTTTAGTGAAAGGATCATCTGTATCTAGAATCAGGGATTTTCAAAATAATATTAATCTTTGTTGTTGTGCAGTTAATAATGTCTGATACACAGTAGGAGTACAGTCAAACAGTGTAGAGGTGGATCAGTTAAGCAAACAATAATGATAACATTAAAAGGAAAACAGCATGGTACATAGTACAATGGTACAAAAGAACAAATATACTTATATGATGCTAAGTAAAAACTGCCAGAAAAGGAAAGACTGCTACAACTGTCAGGGAAACACTAAGATGCAGATAAACTACTTCTGTTAAACTATTCTGTTAGTATAGCTGAAAGCTGAGAGCCCTCTGGTGTCGTATCTGTAAGGTTCAGTTTAAAGTTAAAACATCCATACAGACGGTAGTAAACTTTTTTGTTTTGTCTTTTTAACATTCATTCCACAACAGCATGCGTCATCATGTTTTTCTTCTGAGGTGAAGAAGTTTGGACTGTTTTTACTGTTTGGTGTTGCTTTGAGCACCCGATTGCTGATACATGATAAATCTTAGTTCATTTGATCGAACTGAATCTTACTGAGCCGTAAGATGTCAGATAGTCTGTGGACTCATGCCTGTGCAGTCTTGCTCAGGAACTTGCTCTTCGTCACTCTCTATTTTATAAGCCATTACAGCACAAATGTATGAATGACGACAGAAGGGTCTAAGTCCGGAAGGGCAGCCACCGTCCGAGTCCTTCAAAGAACCTCTGTACGCTCGTGACGTAGAAATCGAGGTTGTGAGTGAAGTCAGTGCAAATGTTAGAGTACGTGTCCACCATGGTGCAGTAGAGAGCGGTCCCACCTATGCTGATCACCACAGTAACCAGACACAGCAGCAGGAGGATCAGGCAGGAATCTCCACCTACCTCATCTACAAGTAAGGATATAGCACAAATGCAAATGCTTCTTTATACAGTAGTGTCATAAGATTATGGCTGTAGCAAACATATTTCACCAACTGCAGCCACTGTGGTTTCTAACATTAAGTCAACACTCGGATTTACATGAGTGATTCATGGTATGTAGTTCATGGTACATACCATGTACTACATTTCAATTCTTGTACTTGGGATCTTCTCCCATTCTTCCTTGCAAAAGGCTTCTAGTTCTGTAATATTCTTTGGTCGTCTTGCATGCACAGCTCTTTTAAGATCTACCCACAAATTTTCAATGATGTTTAAATCAGGGGACTGTGATGGCCATTCCAAAACCTTCAGCCTGCGTCTCTTGAGGTATTCCATAGTGGATTTCGAGGTATGTTTAGGATCATTGTCCTGTTGTAGAAGCCATCCTCTTTTCAGCTTCAGCTTTTTTACAGATGGTGTGATGTTTGCTTCCAGAATTTGCTGGTATTTAGTGGAATCCATTCTTCCCTCCACCCGTGCAATGTTTCCTGTGCCACTGGCTGCAACACAACCCCAGAGCATGATAGATCCACCCCCATGCTTAATAGTTGGCAAGGTGTTCTTTTCATGAAATGCTGCTCCTTTTTTTCTCCAAACATGCCTTTGCTGATTGTGTCCAAAGAGTTCTATTTTAACTTCATCAGTCCACAGCACTTGTTTCCAAAACGCATCGGGCTTCTGTAGATGTCCTGTTGCATACTTCAGACGTTGGATTTTATGATGGGGACGCAGATAAGGTTTTCTTCTGCTGACTCTTCCATGAAGGCCTTGTCTGTGCAAGCATCGCTGCACAGTGGAACGGTGCACCACCACTCCTGAGTCTGCTAAATCTTCCTGCAGGTTTTTTGCAGTCAAATGGGGGTTTTGATTTGTCTTTCTGACCAGCATACGAGCAGTTCTGTCCGAGAGTTTTCTTGGTCTTCCAGATCTCATCTTGACCTCCACAGTTCCCCTGATCTGCCATCTCTTAATTACATTTCTTACTGTGGAAACTGCAAGCTGACAACGCTTTGCTATCTTCTTGTAGCCTTCTCCTGCATTGTGGGCGTCAATAACTTTCATTTTCAGGGTCTTACACAGCTGCTTAGAGGAACCCATGGTTGCTGGGTGTCCACAAGTGTGTGCACAAGGTTTGAAGAGTCAAAGTATTTGTACAGCTTTGAAATTGGCATTTACCAATGACAGCTGTTGCTGTGCATCAGATCTAACGAGCTGATTAAGGTCTGATACCTTGTGAGAGACTTTGAGACTCTGGAACTCTTAGGGTGCCCAAACTTTTGCACCATGCCATAATAATGTTTTTATTTTTTATTTTTGTTCAATTTATGGCATAAGAAGTAACTATGCATCACTGTTTGCAGAAAATATTGTGCATTTTTTCCATTTCCAAGAGAAACTGTGTTAACATCTGTTCAAATAAAAAATCACCAAAATCTGTTATTTATCAAGGGGTGCCTAAACTTTTGCATAAGACTGTAGTTAACTACATACCATGTAGTTAACCCTAACCCTAACCCTAGGATACAGATAAGTTGAACTGTACCTTGCTCAATGCTATCCTCTGGTTCGCTGAAACGAACTTTGCGTTTGGAGTTCTGTTTAGTAGTAGTGTTGCCTGGGGGAGGTAGACCATCCAGTGATGCTCGCCTCCTCTTCAGTATGGAGACGAGGCCATCTGGGTAGGAGCCCTGAAGGAGACACAGGAAACAATGAAAAACAAGAACCAATGTTTTCCTCTTGTTTAAAGGACAACTGCAACTATTGGAGAGTTTGTTCACCTTATGCAGATGAGAAGACTGGTATCAAAATCATCCCAATGTAGCTGCTGTGTTGTGTTTCTTAGGGGCTTAGGCTGGTGATAGTCTATATTTATCCTATAGCCAACAATCCTATGAAAAATAACAGTGGTTTGATCCTATAACAAATACAGTATGATCTGTGTATCCAATCTGGTAAGTTATTGTTCTGTTTTATGGAACTCCATGATGTCCAGAAAATGTTAACTAAAATTTGTTAAAATATTTCAGTGAGCCTCACCCTAAGGCTGCTGATATACTTGCTTTTTACTAACGCATACACGTAGAAATGGCTGCAGCAGCGGTGTCATTGTTCACATGCTTGTGTACTTCCTTTCAACTTCTGCGTAGTGTAAGGAGAATTCATGACGACTTGTCAGCCAGACAAGCATCAGAGCTTTCTGCCATAGCTGTGGTGATCCAGCACTTCTGCTGCTGACCTTACTTTCTGCCCCCACCGGTCAGGTGCTGAGTTGCACTGTGTGGAACCAGCACTCCAAAGGCATGCAGGATGCACAAGGTGGCTATGATGCCACCTTGTGCATCCTGCATGTGTAACATGTTCCTTCATTATTATAAATGTGTACATGGTAGTTAGTCCCTCATATGTTGTCCTGCTGCACTAAATACTCACTAGAGCACCTAATGTGCATTCACCTGCAGGTGGAAATAGTCGCCCCAAAAATCCACTGCTTACCTTACCCACTGTAACCCTGGTAATGTTTGCAAAAACTGCAGTGCTCAGTTAATAAAATATGAATGCTTTTTTTATGGAACAATATATTTGTAGCTTGTTCCACAGATTTCCACACAATATAATACAAGCAATATACCTTTCAAAACCAGGATGCAGTGAACAAGCCCCATCAGCAGACTAATGTGAAACCTGCTGCATGTCTGGTATTAGTCAAGACAACCAGCAGCATTTTAAATGATTTGAAGCTGAGGCATGTAAACAGAAGGTGCAAGCTCAATATTAACAGTGACCCAAATTAAAGGGAGAAATCCTTTGAAGAAGAAGCTTTATTTTATTGTAACATGTACAACAAAGTCTAGTTTGGAGCCGAGGGGCCCCAGGCCGCTGCATGCATACGTGCCGCCACCACTGGCAACTTGAGGGGGTTCAGGATCTTACCCAAGGACACGTGGACTACAGGCACCAAGATTGAACCTTCAACCTTCCGGTTGGGAGACTGCTGCTCTACCCACCGCACCACAACAATTGTAATGTAAATATTATAATTCATTGCAATAAAGGGCTTCTTCTAAGATGGACGTCCAACATCAGCACCATCACCAAGAAGGCACAGCAGAGGATGAACTTCCTGCGCCAGGAAGTTCAACCTGCCCCAGGAGTTGCTGATACAGTTCTACAGAGAAATCATCGAGTCTGTTCTCTGCTCATTCATCAGAAAGAATCATTGGTGCCAGCCTGCCCTTCATGGAGGACCTATACACCTCACAGATCAAGAGGAGGGCAGAGAAGATTTCTGCAGACCCCTCACCCCCTGGACATGAACAGTTTGAACTCCTCCCCTGTGGACGGCGCTACAGGTCACTGTATGCCAAGACAGCCAGAAACAAGGACAGTTTCTTCCTCTGGGCCGTCACTCTGAACAGTTAATCCACAATTGTACGACACAGCAATCACTTGTGATTAAATATAACCAGTGCATATATCAATCTGAAAGCTCTTCTGACACAATGTGTGCATATATGTACATACATGCTGTATATTTTAAAATGGTCTTGTTTTCTCCTATACTTTTTCCTACTTGATTGCACATACTTCCTGTTGTGAATGTACACATTTTTATTTTTTATTTCCTGTTGCTTTAACAAAGCAGATTGAGAGCCAGAGTCCTTCTGTGTTTAACATACTTGGCCAATAAAGCTGATTCAGATTCAGATTCTGATGCTTAGACTGCAGTTACACCGTACAGTCAACAGAGGTCACTAGGCCAGAATGTCTTAGTTTAAAGCACCATCCACCCTAATGAAAAACTGTCCTGATCATAATCTCTGAACACTCCTTAGAGCAAAAACAACAATGCAGTGTTGTCATATGCTGTTAGGTCAAGCTGTCAGCTTCACTTGCTGCAATAATGCATAGATCAATTACTCCGTGCAATCAGTGGGTCAGTAATATGCTGGATGTCGCACTGGTCATCGCATTCAGTCAAACAGAGGCACATTACAATATCATATTTTTACTACTGTACACAGAGAACATTCTGGGGCACAAGCAAAGGCCCTTGTAAAACAGGATTTTCTTTGGAGTGTGTGTGAAAGTTATGCACAGTTTTTAGATATCAGTCAAAATAAAATAATATTTATGAGGGGGAACAGGAAAAAGAACTCTCCTACATCCATAAGGCCACATGTAAACCCTGGAGCTCCTCCATAGATGACTGTGTGAATAGCCAAGGCAGAGTCACCAAAGTAAAGTCAAACTGAATATCACCTCCATTGTCTATGGGGCAACTCCAGGTTATAAATAGTACAACATTCAATAACAATAATCATTCTTTTAAAATGCTAGTCTTTTAATTATTACAGATATGATGATGAAATCACGAATATTTAAACCAACTTGTATTTCTGTTTTATATATAATTTAAAAAAGATTTAATGTTGTTCTGAACTTTTGAAAATGCTGTGGAAATTTAAGAAATTTGCAGTTTACCAAAGCAGGATGGAAAGACTAGCAGCTCTGTGAGGCTGATCACAGTAAATGACTGAGCTAACACACCATCATTTTACTGTGTCAGTCTGCCCTGTAGTTGTTGAGATAGCTCAGTCTGCACCGACAGAGTCTTCACAGGGACTTGTTAATTACATATTGTATTTATTGGAAAACTTGTTACTCTTGAAGTAATCTATTTTATCCAGTGTAGTATGTATTAGTTGTATTGCTGCATGGACATCAGCCGAGGCTATGTCTCCAGCAGATGAAGATCTCCTGGCTAGCTAGCGTTGGGCTAAAACAGCAGCTAACAGACTGAAACTATCAAACACTGAGAGCCGCAAAGGACATGAAATGACTCATCCACAACAGAAGATGATGTTTTTCATATATTTCTAATGCTTTATTGTGCTCTCAGAGCTCATTCCAGGTTTTCTGAATGGACACAATGGCCTTTTCACACCTCACAGTAATGCTGCTGCCTACTGCTCAATTTTGTCCTGCAGGTCACTGTTTTGGCCAGCTGAAGACTGAATGACCAGGGAGCTGCCAGACCACATGGCTTGTTTTTGAGCATTTATGTGGCTTCACATTTACATTAGTTCAGTCCTGTTTGCTGCTGGTTCATTTTTTACCAGTTAAGCCACCAGATGTGACTCATCACTTCAGGTTATGTTCATGCATCAATACAGCTACAAGCAGTAAGTCTCATTTTCTTTCTTTCAAGTTTGACAGAGATTTGTCATGAAACTAGTGAGTCTTCAGAGTCTTTGATATTCTGTCTATTCTATCTTTTGATATTCTGGCTAAATTCACAGTGAACTGATTCCAGGTCTATGCATTCATATTTTACTTAATGAGTTGTGTAATTGTTTATTTGCTCTGTTTAAAGTCACATAAAATACAGAAAGGAACTGAAAATATGTGGCCCTCAGTCTGTTTTGCTTATTTGGTATAACACTGATTTCACCCCCATTTCTAGGAAGAACCAGGCCCCTGCAGCTCAACATTTGAACCAGGACATGATGTCTTGGCTCAGGCTTCAGTTATCTAATGTACTAGTGTAGCACATGTTGCAGGGTAGAACCTCCCAAGTGTCAGGCCACACCTATGAACATGGGTGGAGGTTTTGGAACATTGAGAAGTAGGTGATGATCTCACTACGGCACCATAAAGATCTCCTGTGGGAGTGTCCCAGCAAAGACAAAGATCTGTGGGTCAGGATATGGACCTTAAACAAATAGTCTCATTTTCTGCAGGCTGAAAGTTTTAGACAGTGAAAACAAATCAGGGAGAGGAAAGAAGAAAGGGCAGAGGAGAAAGCTCAAGAACTGTAGGGATACAGAGCAGGAAAATAGTTTCTACCCTCCTGCACACATCGCAGCCGCTCTCCTTTACACATTCATCTCATATTCATCATGTTCACACGGCCTTTACACTTGATATTCCGCAGTCCACACATTAAATTGAGAATCTGTATTATTTGTCCAAAAAATGCACAAAAAAGTTAGCAATCTTTTTTCTAGTATTAATCAGAAGTAAAGGTACATAAACACACCAGACCAACAGAGAAAAATATGTATTCCTACCCCCTCTGTGTTAGACAGTTTGGCTAGGTCCTTGTCTGAAGCCTGGGGGACTCCTGTTGGCCACTCCACCTTCACCTCCTCCTCCTCTGGTGTCTCCTCACATGGCTCCTCCTCTTCTACTTCCTGTCCTTCCTCATATGTGTCTTTATCTCCTTCCTCTGCTTCCTCCTGGTTGCCTGTTTGTGATGAAGACAGCTCTGATTCTGAGTTCATGTTTTGCTCTCGTTCTCCGTCCTGTTGTGATGTTTCGAGCTTGCTGACTAGAATGGACAAAGGACATTGGTTATTGATTAGAGATTAGTACTCAAGCATTACTGTATTAGATTAAATGAACTTTATTGTCATTGCCCATGTACAAGTACAAGGCAATGAAATGCAGTTTAGCATCTAACCAGAAGTGCAATAACAGCAGTGAAGGGTGTACAGTAACTACAGTATGAACAGTCAGAACTAATTTACCGATGGATATGTACAATTGATATTTACAGTAAGATATAATGTACGATATACAAAAGACTATGGATTCAAATTACAGTAATGGACAAGGTACATTAAGCTTAAGGAACACTAGTGCAATGGAATGAGATGGGATGAAACTGTTCAATGGATGTAAATAGTGCAAAGATAAAGACAAATATGGAGTATCTGCATATGAACAGTGTGCAAATGAATACAGAGCAGTATCCTGTGAGTAGAGTATGTGCAAATTAGCAGATCACTTCAGTGTTACAGGTAACAGAAGCGTATTGCATGAGTCCCGGGAGGAGAGATGAGAAGGGGTGAGGTGTGTGTAGTGGTATAGAGGAAGGCAGTGGGGGGTCAACAGGGGACAGAGTACTGTACAGTAAGGAGACAGTTGTGGGGAGGAAGCTGTTCCTTAGTCTACTGGTCTTGGTCTGGAGGCTCCTGAAGCACCTCCCAAAGGGTAGGAGGTCAAACGGTTTATGAGCAGGGTGAGAGGAGTCCTTGAGAATGCTGTGAGCACATCGGAGATAGCATTCCCTCCACCATTATCCTCAACACCGGCTGGATTCACCAGGATGGCTGAAGACAGGTGGTTCTTCTTCAGTGTCCTCAGGAAGAAGAGGTGCTGGTGAGCCTTCTTAACCAGGCTGCAGGTGTTGGTGGCCCAGGACAGATCCTCTGAGATGTGGGTCCCCAGGAATGTGAAGCTGGAGACATGTTCAACAACCATCCCATTAATATGGATGGGATCGTGTGTGCCTCCTTTCTCCCTCCTGTAGTCCACAATGACCTCCTTGGTTCTTCTCGGTGTTAAAGAGCAGGTTATTGTCAGCGCACCACACAGCCAGGTGCCGTACCTCCTCCCTGTAGGCTGTCTCATCATTGTCGCTGATGAGGCCAATCACCGTGGTTTTGTCTGCTAACATGATAATGGTGTTGGAGCCATGCACAGGCCTGCAGTTGTGGGAGAAAAGGGAGTAGAGGAATGGGCTCAGTACACAGCCCTGTGGTATGCCGGTGTTGAGGATAATGGTGGAGGGGCAGGTGTTGTCTGACCTAATATGCTGAGGCCTGTTTGGTCAGAAAGTCCAGAATCCAGTTGCAAAGGGAGGTGCCGATGCCCACGTCACCAAATTTGGTGGTTTTGGATTTTCTGAAGGGATGACCATGTTAAATGCTGAGCTGAAGTCCACGAACAGCATTCTTGCATAAGTGTTGTTGTTGTCCAGGTGTCTGAGTACAGAGTGCAGTGATATGGAGACTGTATTCTCCATGCTCCTATTCCTTCTGTAGGCAAATTGGTGGGGGTCCAGTGTGGGTGGGAGACAGGTCATTCAGGCACCTCGGGGTGGAATGTTTCGGCAATGGAGGTGGTTTTGAAGCATGCCTGCACAACTGCTTGGGTGAGGGACAGGTTAAAAATGTCAGTAAAGACGCCAACAAGCTGTCCTGCACATGCCCTGAGCACGCGTCCAGGAATGGCCATCAAGGCCAGCAGCCTTGTGTATGTTGATCTGGCCCAGAGCAGCATACACATCAGTGGAGGTGAGTGTGAGTGGCTGGTAGTGTGCAGAGGGTCTGGACTTGATAGCTGTCTCCTTGTCCTGGTTGAAATGAGAATAGAAGGCATTTAGCTCATTGACGAAGGAGACATTTGGGGTTGTTGGGGTGGAGTTGCCAGGCTTGTAGTCAATGATGACCTGGATACCCTTCCACATAGATTGGGGGTTAGACCTTTAGCTTGTAGTGGTGCTTGGCCTTCTTGATGCCCCTCCTCAGGTTGGCCCTGGATAAGCTGTAGGCCTGTGCATCACCAGATCTGAAGGCAGAGTTGCGTGCCTTCAGCAGAAGCCACACCTCCTTGTTCATGATTTGGGTACGTGGTAATCTGTTTCTGGGTTGTGACACTGTCAGTGGTAGTGTTAATAAAGTCCAGCACAGAGGAAGTGTACTGTAGGTGTCGATGTCTGTGTGGGAGTCACAGGTAGCCCAGGAGGCAAACATACTTCAGTCCGTGTGGTGAAACCTGTCCTGTAGTATAGAGTCTCTCCCCTCTGGCCACACTTTGATGATCCTCATTGATGGCTTCACACGGCAGATGAGTGGTGAGTACTTGGGAATGAGGAACAAAGAAAGGTGATCTGACTGTCCCAAGTAGGGAAGGGGGTAACCTTGTATGCAGCAGCCATGTTTGTGTAAACATGGTCCAGAGTTTTATTTCCTCTAGTGTGGCAGGAAACATGCTGGTGGAATTTAGGGAGCATTGACTTTAGGTTGGAGTGATTAAAATCATCCACAACAATAAATGCAGCCTCTGGGTGAGCTGTCTGTTTGTTAATGGCCGCATGAAGTTCGTTCATAGCAAGCTTGGCATTAACGTCCGGAGCGATATAGGTTCCGATTATTATAGTCGAAGTGTATTCCCTAGGCAGATAAAAAGGTTTGCACTTACGAAGCGCTTAGGTTAGCTGAGCAGTGTCTCTCAGTGATGACAGAGTTCGTACACCAAGCTTTGTTAACATAAATGCACAATCCTCCGCCTCTGGTCTTACCAGAGCCATCTGGCGATCTACAGTATCTGCCCGGAGTGTGTAGTGTCCAGCTAGCTCGATAGCACTGTAGGGTATGCTGCTGTTTAGCCAGGTTTCCATGAAAATCATAACACTGCAGTCCATAAGTCTCTTACTGTTGGTGATGCAAAGCTGTATCTCGTCCACCTTGTTCAGCAATGATCGCACACTGGCGAGGAAAATTCTGGGTAGAGTAGGGTATATGAACTCAGATGAATTGATAAAGAGCTCATATATAACTTAATGCATCTTTACTGAGTAGATTAGAAGGTCATGGTACTAATTGTCAGGGATAAAGAGTTCACACTATTATGTCAGTCTCCACTTCACCACTGTTCACAAAATGTGATCTCATCTGTTCCGTATTGCTATGTTGTTGTCTTTGTACTCATGCAACCTTAGAACCAACAGCTGACATGCCAGAAATCCACCTGATCGGTCGAGAGGCAGATTGTTGATCAATGGTGATTAACTGGGCACTGGGATATTGCTCACACTAGATGACAAACCACAACTGATCAAGCCAGAATTAATGCCCAATTCTAAAATTAGTGGTGGGCAACTGAATCAGGTGTAAAATTGGGCCAGATCCATGTCTGCTCATCTTAATAATGTAAATGATAATATGGAGAATTATATGGAATGCATTTCCCATTTTAGTTTGATTTTACAGTTCTCAGAGACCATTCACATAACCTAAGTTCAAATAGTTGATAAATAATGACAAGCTCTCATTATGTCATGATTCTGTCCCGCCTGTTTCCGTTCTCGTGCTTTTATTTTGACATTACTTCCGCTTTCTGTTTCACCTTAGTTTCGGACTTTTTACGTTAATCTGCACTCATTGTTTTCACCCCAATATAAGCAGCTATCCCCCACCGGAAAGCTGCCAGATTGTTGTCTTGACTCCCGTGCAGACTTTACAGCGTTCTTGTTTTTTTGTGATTCCTGTTGTGACCTTGGATTGTATTTTGATCACTGTGTTCTGCCTTGCCCTCTTGATTCTGACTGTTTTCTGTGTATGGATTATGGGACTTCCCTCTCTGACATCTCGTTGTGGACTCCTCGGCTGTGTAAGTTTGCTGGCTCTGACCCTGGACTGTGTTTTCGACCTGAGTGTGTGTTTCATGTTCACGTAGTTTTCTGTAGGGCTTTGTTGTCCGTGCTGTTAGTAAAGAGACAGTTTTTAACTTATCCTTGTCTGGCTCTATAATTGAGTTCACCCTTGATATTATCAGCAGCTTTCCACACCGTTCCTGACACATTATTTGCCTTCATGTTAGACAGTTCATTTGGGTGTATATGTGGATGTGCCCATGTTACCAGTGACTGATGGAATTAGATGAAAATGTGTAGAACTTTATGGAGCTCAGGAGCTGCCAGGCATGCTAGATAGTAGTATTGAAATAAAATGGGTTTTATTCATACTAGTGGCATATGGCTATATGTATAGCAATGTCAGTCACTGGTGGGTCTGGTCCTCAAATTCCTTGTGAGTTAATACGTTTGACAAAATGGAGTTCTCGGTTCTGAGACAGGCAAGTGACAGTCATCAAAAACGTGTCTAAACACCCTTTCTATGTGAAGTGGATGCCTTGTTTATCCTATTGGTACAGGTATAGATATTAACTGTATAGAGACAATGCATGTTTACCTTTATCATGACAGGATTGTAGTGTCTGGTTCTTGTGCTGACTGTCTTTCATAGTTGTATTCACCTTGCTCTGTTGTATCAAACAGATGACAAACATTTATCATGTAGAAAAAGAAACTGATCAGTGTAGAAAGAAAAGTTTCACTCATCTTACCTGTTCCACACTGATTGATGGGCTGAGTGATGCCAGAGATGGAGACAAATAAAAGTCAAAACAGAGGAAAACCAGGCAGGCAACAAGCGAAAGAGAAAACAGAAAGGTGGAGAAAGATCATACAAGGATAACTGAGTCACTTAACATATTAAAAATCTGAAATACTCTTCAGGTCTTTGCAGCATCTGTGTTCTCAGCTAAATAAAATCTGGAAGTTTTCTGTCTGACAGTAATAGAAGTAATGAGATGAAATGCAAATGGCATAATTAGCAGAGATACTGAGAGCTGTGTGTTTCTCATAAGTTGAGGCATGGGAACACTCTGCATCTAAGGCATACCATTACTACATAGATGTTTACTGACAAAGTGCTGAAAAGTGTGGGAAATCAGCTGCTGTCTCCAACCACACTCCAAGGAAGGATTGGTGTGGCTGATCACAAAATAAAAAGGTTATTTAGGAATTTAGCTGGGGGCGGCTGTGGATCAGGAGGTAGAGCGGGTCGTTTCCTAACCAGAGGATTAGCAGTTCGATTCCTGGCTTGTCCAGTCAACATGTCAAAGTGTCCTTGAGCAAGGCACTGAACCCCCCAGTTGTGTGAGTGCTTGAGAGTGCGAATGGGTGAATGGCCAAATAATGTGAAAACACTTTGAGTGTGCTGTAAAAGCGTAGAAAGGCACTATACAAGTATAAGACCATTTACCATTCCCATATGTATCCATCTGCAACATAGAACAGGTTCTTCAGATGAGAGAATGCTTTGATTTCACCAGGTAATGTTGTGTATATGAACCGTACTGACATACCTGAGGTGCGTCCTGCAGATCCGGCTCAGGGTCTCAATGTGTTTCTGACTGATGGAGTCAGCCTCTGTAGACAAAATGCTCTCAGGGTTCTTCTTCTCTTTCCACTGGCTCTCTGAGAACAGATGTACAGTGCAGGTGCACACAAATTAAATGCTAATACCAACTCTTTCTTCAGAATTAAATTAAATGCTAATACCAACTCTTTCTTCATAATTACATTTAGGTTTCTGATCACCAGTATTAATTTATAGAGGGGAAAGAGAACTGCATGCAGTACCCCAGTTCTCCTGCAGGGCAGCAAGGTTGGAGAGCAGACGTTCATGGTAGAGCTTCTCCAGCTGTAGAAACTGGATAGCCCACTGGTCTGGTAGCATCATCAGTTAAAGATACAACACACATTAATACACATTCAGTGACACCATCAATGCAATTATCTATTTATAAATACTTGATTTTTATTTTCCTAATGCACATCCCTTTTTCTTGTTTGCACATTCTTTTTCTTTTTTGTTCTCTCAGTCTTGTTTACTTGTCTACTCGTTGCCTTATGGAAGAACATTGTACATACACATTAAGAGCCACTGTTCCAGAGTCAAATTCCTTGTGCATCCAACACACCTGGCCAATAAAGCCAATTCTGATTCTGAACAATAACACTATCTGTTACATCTAAGGTTTTACAGTGATCAGGTCAGTGTTATTACATTTTAGACAAAAAAATAGAAACCCCACTGGCCAATCCTAAAAACCATGTGCAGCTGACTTTTTTTTAGTTCAGAGGCTGAAAAAGTGATGGCCATTCTTAGCCTTTGGAACTTTGGTCTTTGAAGCTACGCTACTTCATTCCTTTTCAGTCAGTAGATGTCTTGTGACTCAGTACATACTGCCACCATAATCTGCTCCTTACCACTCTTTTCTTCTCCCATTTAAAGTGCAGATACCTGAACTGAGCCAGACATGACCTGACAGGCTGGGTTCGGACAGAAATTTAGAAATTATGTTCAGGTCTGGGTCGGGTTTGGACACATAGGTCAAACCTTAGGCTAGACATCTGGAGCATTCAAACATCTACTTTCTTTAATGAGATGGGTAAAAACACCATACAAACTGAAGTGCATCAGGCTCATGTCGGGTTCATACATTATATAATGGAGATTTTAATCTAAAGTTCAGGAGCGGAACCACATCCAAACACACACCACTTCCATTCCTCATTACAAATCACCCATTCAAACTAGTCTTAGGCTTCTGCTTTTTTATAAGGCAGATCACCTGCCATTGGTGTGGTTGCTCACCTTGTTTTGTTTGTCCGTTTGCCCCTCCAATGAAGCATTGTTTTCTGCTCTGTCACTGGCTCATCTTCTCCACTGTTTTTAGGGGTTTGTACTGCCGGTCCTGCTCCACCATGTGAGGGGCATTCCCTGTTCACCAAACCGCAGGCTGCTGCATCCTCCTCGGGCTGCGGTTGCCTTGTCAGCTTCCCTCATTCTTCGATTCCATTAGGATTCTTGCCTCTTCCCTATGACCCTACTACCGCAGTTCCAGCTTCTTACTGTGTCCTCCTGAATTTCTTCAGCTCCACGAGGACTCTTCCAGTCTTCTCTAGGACTCTCTTGCCACCAGCCACTTGCTGCCCCTTCTTGCCTTCATTCTGTTCCTTCATTTTTCATTCCCTGGGCACCGGGCTGTCTGCTAGCTTTTCCTCCTTTCCTGGTACCAAGATACCATCTGGCCTTCATGCCTTCTTCCTCCGAGTAGCTACCCTTTAATTAAACAGTCCACCCAGGCCCCGAACAGCCTTGCGGGCTTCCCTAGCACCACATCATCAGATGACACAGAGATGCCTCACTTCTGCTCCATTTATTTCCGCCTTCGCCCTCCCAGCTGTCTCTACTGCACAATGTCTTCTTCTTTGCTCCAGCTACAGTTAAACACTGAGTCAGCTCCATCTCTTTGTTGCTTTGTGTTCATTGTGCCCTGATGCTTTTATTATCTCTCTCCTCTATCGACTCACCCCAACTGGTCGAGGCCGAAGGCTGCCCACTAAGAGCCAGGGTCTGTCAGATGTTTCTTCTGTTCAAGGGAGTTTTTCCTCCCCACTGTCACCAAGTGCTTGCTCAAGGGGGATTTGTTGGATTTTCCTTTAATGGTGTAAGGTCTGATCCGGATTATGTAAAATGCCCTGAGACAACTGTTCAAAACAGTCTGCAGTGCTTTTGCTGCTGAACATTTCTCTGCTATTGTCCCTCAAATCGTCTCTCTTCATACATGAAGCATTCTTTGTGTTTGTCTTTCTCTCTCCTCTCACATGTAAATACATAAACAGATGCTATCCTCCTTGCAGCAAGACAGACCGACACCTGTTGCCAGGCCAACAGCACAAACAGAGCCACAGGAAACTACTACTGCAAGCCATCAGGTCTTTGAGCCAAAGTATGGGGAACACCCAGTGACTGATGGACAAATGAACAGACAGAAAACAACAGCAATGAGACAAAGATGTAGCTGCCAAGAAAGACAGACAAGCAAATAGATAAAGGCTACTAACAGAAGCCTTTAGCCCTCTTACATTGCTGATATTTCAATGCTGAATATTTACCTTTGTCCTTATATTGTCAAAATCAGTGTTTGGTCTTCGACCGGAATAGTCAGTTAGGGTAAACCCCTTTTTAACCGACAAAGATAGAAACACTTTTTTTTACTTCCCCCCCCCCAATCATCCCAAGTGCCACTCTGGCTCAGTCATGACTCAGTTGGAAAATACTAGTGATCTGCAAATGTCACAATGCATAAAACAGAGAAATGAGGCCACATGTGCTTTAAAGGATACAGTCCTCTTTGAGCGAGTATGTCTCTGCAATCTGAAAAGAACAACAAACAAAAGACAAATCTTTAACCAGGAGGTGCAGTACTTCAAACTGCAGTCATGTGACAGTGTTTCTGTTTGAATCATTAATATTAACTCTTGAATGATGATGTTGAACAGCATCACTAACTCTGCATCTGATTCTTACAATATCAGGTCATATAGATGCTTTTACCAAATGAGTCTGATCCTGATTGCACTGCTTTGCCTCTCCTTTCCTTTCTTAGTATTTGAAGTAAAGCGGCTTTGTCTTTGTTCCACGATTACTGCAGTTGGCAGCAATGCAACTAAAAGCTAAAAGCTTCTCACCTTTCAATAGTTAAGACAAATTAATCGTATTGTCTCCGTGTTGTAGGGA